GACGAAAACGCGCAAATAGCACAACTTTTCATCTTCAATGCCTTTAGAAGGCACAGCACAAATTTGAAGTCGGTCGGACTAAATCCCTAGGAGGAGTTCGTTAAAGTACAAAGTGTGTAAATCATCCAAAATTTGACGTAAAATTCAAAATGGCCGACTTCCTGTTGATTTTAGGGCATCGCTCAAAGAGGCTTTTTTGTGCGTCTGGACAAGATACACGTACCACAGAAAATTCGTGCACGTAGGTAAAACGTGCGGCGGGGGCTGCTTCGTTAAAAGTCACTTCCTGTTGCCAGCAGGTGGCGCTATGACTGTCTGTGAATGTCAGCATGTACATGTGTTCAGGGCGGGACTCTCATCCTACATGTACAGTTTGGTCCAGATGTGAGCATGTACACTGAAGTTACGACAACTTCCGTGTCATGGCGAAGAGCTGATCTTTGACGCCACGCCACGGACACGCCCATTGACGAAAACTTGCAAATAGCACAACTTTTCATCTTCAATGCCTTTAGAAGGCACAGCAAAAATTTGAGGTCGGTCGGACTAAATCCCTAGGAGGAGTTCGTTAAAGTACGAAGTGTGTAAATCATCCAAAATTTGACGTAAAATTCAAAATGGCCGACTTCCTGTTGATTTTAGGGCATCGCTCCAAGAGGCTTTTTTGTGCGTCTGGACAAGATACACGTACCACAGAAAATTCGTGCATGTAGGTAAAACGTGCGGCGGGGGCTGCTTCGTTAAAAGTCACTTCCTGTTGCCAGCAGGTGGCGCTATGACTGTCTGTGAATGTCAGCATGTACATGTGTTCAGGGCGGGACTCTCATCCTACATGTACAGTTTGGTCCAGATGTGAGCATGTACACTGAAGTTACGACAACTTCCGTGTCATGGCGAAGAGCTGATCTTTGACGCCACGCCACGGACACGCCCATTGACGAAAACTTGCAAATAGCACAACTTTTCATCTTCAATGCCTTTAGAAGGCACAGCACAAATTTGAGGTCGGTCGAACTAAATCCCTAGGAGGAGTTCGTTAAAGTACGAAGTGTGTAAATCATCCAAAATTTGACGTAAAATTCAAAATGGCCGACTTCCTGTTGGGTTTAGGCTATTGCTCCAAGAGACTTTTTTGTGCGTCTGGACAAGATACACGTACCACAGAAAATTCGTGCACGTAGGTGAAACGTGCGGCGGGGGCTGCTTCGTTAAAGGTCACTTTCTGGTGCCAGCAGGTGGCGCTATGACTGTAGGTGAATGTCAGCATGTACATGTGTTCAGGGCGGAACTCTCATCCTACATGTACAGTTTGGTCCAGATGTGAGCATGTACACTGAAGTTACAACAACTTCCTGTTTCATAGCGAATCATCGACGCCACGGACACGCCCATTGACGAAAACGCGCAAATAGCACAACTTTTCATCTTCAATGCCTTTAGAAGGCACAGCACAAATTTGAAGTCGATCGGACTAAATCCCTAGGAGGAGTTCGTTAAAGTACAAAGTGTGTAAATCATCCAAAATTTGACGTAAAATTCAAAATGGCCGACTTCCTGTTGATTTTAGGGCATCGCTCAAGAGGCTTTTTTGTGCGTCTGGACAAGATACACGTACCACAGAAAATTCGTGCACGTAGGTAAAACGTGCGGCGGGGGCTGCTTCGTTAAAAGTCACTTCCTGTTGCCAGCAGGTGGCGCTATGACTGTCTGTGAATGTCAGCATGTACATGTGTTCAGGGCGGGACTCTCATCCTACATGTACAGTTTGGTCCAGATGTGAGCATGTACACTGAAGTTACGACAACTTCCGTGTCATGGCGAAGAGCTGATCTTTGACGCCACGCCACGGACACGCCCATTGACGAAAACTTGCAAATAGCACAACTTTTCATCTTCAATGCCTTTAGAAGGCACAGCAAAAATTTGAGGTCGGTCGGACTAAATCCCTAGGAGGAGTTCGTTAAAGTACGAAGTGTGTAAATCATCCAAAATTTGACGTAAAATTCAAAATGGCCGACTTCCTGTTGATTTTAGGGCATCGCTCCAAGAGGCTTTTTTGTGCGTCTGGACAAGATACACGTACCACAGAAAATTCGTGCATGTAGGTAAAACGTGCGGCGGGGGCTGCTTCGTTAAAAGTCACTTCCTGTTGCCAGCAGGTGGCGCTATGACTGTCTGTGAATGTCAGCATGTACATGTGTTCAGGGCGGGACTCTCATCCTACATGTACAGTTTGGTCCAGATGTGAGCATGTACACTGAAGTTACGACAACTTCCGTGTCATGGCGAAGAGCTGATCTTTGACGCCACGCCACGGACACGCCCATTGACGAAAACTTGCAAATAGCACAACTTTTCATCTTCAATGCCTTTAGAAGGCACAGCAAAAATTTGAGGTTGGTCGGACTAAATCCCTAGGAGGAGTTCGTTAAAGTACGAAGTGTGTAAATCATCCAAAATTTGACGTAAAATTCAAAATGGCCGACTTCCTGTTGATTTTAGGGCATCACTCCAAGAGGCTTTTTTGAGCGTCTGGACAAGATACACGTACCACAGAAAATTCGTGCACATAGGTGAAACGTGCGGCGGGAGCTGCTTCGTTAGAAGTCACTTCCTGTTGCCAGCAGGTGGCGCTATGACTGTGGGTGAATGTCAGTATGGACATGTGTTCAGGGCGGGACTCTCATCCTACATGTAAAGTTTGGTCCAGATGTGAGCATGTACACTGAAGTTACAAAAACTTCCTGTGTCATGGCGAAGAGTTGATCTTTGACGCCACGCCACAGACACGCCCATTGACGAAAACTCACAGATAGCACAACTTTTCATCTTCAATGCCTTTAGAAGGCACAGCAGAAATTTGAGGTCGGTCGAACTAAATCCCTAGGAGGAGTTCGTTAAAGTAGGAAGTGTGTAAATCATCCAAAATTTGACGTAAAATTCAAAATGGCCGACTTCCTGTTGGTTTTAGGGCATCGCTCCAAGAGGCTTTTTTATGCGTCGGGACAAGATACACGTACCACAGAAAATTCGTGCACGTAGGTGAAACGTGCGGCGGGGGCTGCTTCGTTAAAGGTCACTTTCTGGTGCCAGCAGGTGGCGCTATGACTGTAGGTGAATGTCGGCATGTACATGTGTTCAGGGCGGAACTCTCATCCTACATGTACAGTTTGGTCCAGATGTGAGCATGTACACTGAAGTTACAACAACTTCTGTGTCATGGCGAAGAGTTGATCTTTGACGCCACGCCACGGACACGCCCATTGACGAAAACTCGCAAATAGCACAACTTTTCATCTTCAATGCCTTTAGAAGGCACAGCACAAATTTGAAGTCAGTCGGACTAAATCCCTAGGAGGAGTTCGTTAAAGTACGAAGTGTGTAAATCATCCAAAATTTGACGTAAAATTCAAAATGGCCGACTTCCTATTGGGTTTAGGCTATGGCTCCAAGAGACTTTTTTGTGCGTCTGGACACGATACACGTACCACAGAAAATTCGTGCACGTAGGTGAAACGTGCAACGGGGGCTGCTTCGTTCAAGGTCACTTTCTGTTGCCAGCAGGTGGCGCTATGACTGTGGGTGAATGTCGGCATGTACATGTGTTCAGGGCGGGACTCTCATCCTAGATGTACAGTTTGGTCCAGATGTGAGCATGTACACTGAAGTTACAACAACTTCCTGTTTCATAGCGAATCATCGACGCCACGGACACGCCCATTGACGAAAACGCGCAAATAGCACAACTTTTCATCGTCAATGCCTTTAGAAGGCACAGCACAAATTTGACGTCGATCCGACTAAATCCCTAGGAGGAGTTCGTTAAAGTACGAAGTGTGTAAATCATCCAAAAATGGCCGTAAAATTCAAAATGGCCGACTTCCTGTTGACTTTAGGCTATGGGTTCTTGAGGCTTTTTTGTGCGTCTTGATATGATACATGTCCCCAGAAAATTTCGTACATGTAGGTTGAACGTGAACGAGGGGCTAATTTTTTCCAATTTTCTAGGTGGCGCTAGCGAGTCATTTTGCAACGCCCATGTGCGAAACTTGTAGAATACGAAATTTTTCACCGGTTCTGACATGTTTGTCATGTCACAATTTTGGTGAGTTTTCAAGTATGTTTAGGCCATGTCATTAGATGTATGAAATTTGGGGGCCAGACGCATCATCTCTAGACCTGAAACAAAACCTGCAGAACCCATACCCCAAAACCCTCCTAGAGAATAAATCAAAACAACTGATTTGGGCAGTATAACCTAAAGAACCATGTGTTCCTAAATTGTGAAGCATTTTAGAACTCATCAAACGGCGTGTCTCTGGTGTGCCATTGAAATTTGTTTCACCATGAAAAAGGAAGTGGTGTGTAAATGGACTGTACATGGTCAAATCTGTCCCATACTTCACAGGTTTGATGAGAGTCCTGTCCTCAAGACAGGTACATCATCATATTCACTCAGTCATAGCGACACCTACTGGCAACAGGAAATGCCATGTTTTAAACTTTAATATACTCCTCCTAGCAGGTTGGCCAGATCTATCTCAAAGGAAAGCCTTAAGACCTTGATGATGTTACATTGTAAAGCTTTTGAGTTTTTGTCACGGCAACAGTTGTTGCCGCTGCGAGCCATTATTCGCCATGAAACAGGAAGCTATTTGTTAAGGGGCTAAGGATGCTAGAAACCTCACAAATTTTGGCATACATGTCAGAAGTGTTTTTGCAGTCTAAAGTGTCCTCAAAAGAAAAGTGGTTGCTCAATTCAGGGGCCAAAGTTTGTGAGCATGCGAGCTCACAGCAGCGGCGCAAAACACAATGTTAGAGGTCTTTAATATTATTATAAGAATTGTGACAATATTTTCAACTAATTTTGAAACCATGGCTGAACAAATTAGACTGTGGCGGGCTGTCCTAGTCTTGGTATTGAATGGAAACAGCGCTCACACACACACATACACAAACGTTGACCTTGCAGAGACTGAAGCACGTAGAATTAGGCAAACCTTGATGTCCTGTTGTAGTGTGTAGCACAGGCTGTGCAGGCTGCATGTGCGGTCCTGTGGGTGCTGCTGCAGGCCTTTCAGGACCACATCGTAGTAAGGCTGTGGAATGCAGCTGTCTACTGCAAGGGCCTGGCCTGCATCCATCACCTGTTTGATCAAGTCCACATGTACTGTACCCCATGGTTCATTGTCTGAAACAATGTATGAAACATTATGACATTATTCTATTTGAGCAAACTCAGCTACTGTATGCCCTATAACTACATCAAGTGTTTTTAGTGTGAATGCTGATTCGGCAATCACACTACTGTTATTAGTGTGGATGCTGATTAAATTCACTGTTATTGTAAAAATTACTCTGTATGTTTTTTTGCCTTGCTACTACTTACGCATACTTTCAGCTACAGAAACCATTCAAACTATTAAAATATTAGGCTTTCAGCACATTTTTACAATGTAAGTCAATAGACTACTACTGCTTCAGCCCTTTTCTGAGTTTATAATGGGTGTGTATTGGGCAATTAACAGCTAAAATGTTATCATCAACGTTTGTGTGGGGAAGATTTTTTAAAACTTCTAGAAATTCCCACAATCTTCACTGTTCATACATCATTTTATACCAAAACATAGGACATAAGAATTTGTGCTGGTCACTGGGTGCAGCATCGCTCTCTCACTCTCTCACTCTCCCTGGAGCAGCACCCACCTGAAGCTCATCACACTAATCAACTAATCCTGTTTTAAACCCTGGCTTGACATCCAATCCTTGCTAGATTGTACGTTCACCTCAACAAGCACTACGGCCATCTAGTTCCGAACTAGAAGTTGAGATAAACTGTTTTCTGATTCTTCACATAATACTTGTGTTTTGCTGCCCTCGCCCTAGGAACCACCCAACCTGAACCGTGTGCTTGGAAACTTGGATCCTCGTGTCTGCCCGCTCACCCCTCTTCCTCCAGGAACTCTACTGCATTCCCTTCAGCTTACTTTTCAATAAATCCTTAACTATCAAGCTAAACCAGAGTCTCAGTGCATGCTTCTGGGTCCACTAGGTTCCCCTTAACAGCAGTTTAGCTTCCAGGTTGTTAAGCAGTGTAATGCAATTGAGCTTTAAGATTTCATTGAAGCATTTAATTTCAGACTCCTGAATTTTCAGCAGTGTTTTTGTAAGTTAATTTTAGCTTTCAGCTTTCACACACATTTTCTGCAGGAAATGCAATTTTTCTCATTGTAATTAACAATTGTGTTGGAAATATCATCCGATTTTCCCCGCTGTTCATTAAGGAACTTATTTTCATTTACTACTTCAAATTCTCAGTTCTGTGCAGTTCTAATTTTCTATTCCTTCAGAATTAAGTCAAAACCTTGAGAAAGGACAAAAAACACCATGTAACTGTATGTAAATGCATTTCAATTGTGTCCTGTTCAGTCTTATTTTGTGTGATTACAGAGACTACAGTAACTGTGAATTTCTCAGAACAACAGGAACGACAACATCTTGTTCCCTAACAAACAATGTTTAAGTCCAAAATGTGAAGCCAAGATGTGAAAGCTACCTGTGTAGAGTTCCTGGATCAGAGCACACAGACTGTAGATGTCAGCCTCCTTTGTGCAGGGTCGCTGTTTAATGACCTCTGGAGCAGCCCATCTGTACAGGCTGGGTGGCAGGACTATGTACATTGGGGACTGGACACATGTACTTTCACTGCTGAAGGCATGCACATGCGCACACACACACACACACACACACACACACACACACACACGTAATTTTAACCAGGACCGTGACATAACATAGTATACCTATCTATACTATTAGGAAATATTTATATGTTGTCACATCTGTCTCTCATGACAATACCATCCAATTTCATCTCCCCAATAAATAACATGTTTACATTTACTACCTTCTGTTCACTGCAGACTAATAACAACAAGGTAAAACAATTTTATGTTTGTAAGACAAAAAACACATTTAAGTGCTCTTTTTTATTTGCTGTAGGTTGACTCTCTGTTAATGGGGGATGGTAGCTTTGATGGCAGATGGTTATCTGGATGTATCAACATCAGGTTTTGTTGATGATCCTTCAGCACTGAAGACAAAGAACCACTTTCACCATTTGGCACAGACATTAAATGTGTTATAATGTAATACTCCTATAGCACAACACACACTAGTAGTCTTCTCTCTACTTTTCTGTCTCATCCATTATTTTTTATATTGGGACATCTTGTTGGGGTTGTTGTTTATATAACCACATAAATGACTTTACGTTAACAGAACATAATTTCAGACGGCAGCCTTTGTGAAATTTGCTTAAATTACTGATTTGTTAAAACTACTGATTGTTAAATGTGTCATTTTTGCAGATGATTCAAATTTATTTTGCTGTGGGAAAAATTTTAAGGATCTTTTGTACTACTGAAGCGGAGCAGAAAATCCTCAAAAGCTGGTTTGATGTAAATAAATTGTCTGTAAATCAAGAAAACTAAATTTATGTTTTTTGAAAATCAAAAATTAAAGATTCTAAGGTGTTGGGATTGATAAATTAAATTGGAAAAAACATAGATTACATGAAAGGAAAACTATCAAAGATATAGAGCTCCTATATAAATCTAGAGATGTATTAAATTATAAAGCTATGCATATTATTTATTGTTCACTCTTTCTTATATCTCTTACTGTGTGGAACTATTAGGAGCAAGCTATAAAACAACCAAAATTTAATAATCTTACTACAAAGAAGGGATATATTATTAATATATTATTATAATAGTATTAATATTAATAAAGTTGGTTACAGTGATAAAACAAATCCACTGTTTTTAAATTCCAGAGTTATAAAATTAAAGGACTTGTATTATAAATAATGCAGATAATGTTCAGGGCTAAGTCAATTCCATATTGTATCCAAAAGTTTTTTCAATACAGGAAAGATGACCTGATGAATATGACCTCAGAGGTATTTTTAAGTTTACTTTCAAAAAGCAAACAAAAATATTAAAAGAAGATGTATTTCTATTGTTGGGGTAATATTATGGAACAATGCCAATGTAAAAATAAAATTGTGCAATTCTCTTTTGGTGTTCAAGAAAATGGTTGGTAATGATATTTTTGATGGTTATAAATGTGAATAGTTTTTGTTTTCTGATAAATATTTTTGTTATTATTATAATTTTTTTTTACCTTTTTGGTTTAGAAGAAAATGGTTTGTAATGTTATTTTTGATGGTCCATCAAACTATCATCAGTGGAGCAGTGCTGAGGATGAATTAAGAGTTTAAGAGCCTGATAGCTTGGGGGAAGAAGCTGCTCTGCAGTCTGGTGGTGCGGCAGCAGAAACTTCTATATCTCTTCCCAGAATGCAGCAGGGTGAACAGGCTGTGGCTGGGTGGGTACTGTCTTTTAGTATCTTTGGGCTCTGCGCAGGCACCTCACCTCACCAATATCACTAATGCTCGGGAGATGGGTACCAATGATCTTCTGAGCAGTTTGAATCACCCGCTACAGAGCCCTCCAGTTCTGGGGTTAGGGTGTCCATGTTAGTGATGTTTTCAGTCAGAATGCTTTCTATTGCTCCTTTGTAAAAGCTGACAAGAACTTGTTAAGCTTCCTCAAGAAATACAGTCGTTTCTGAGCTTTCTACTCCAGCGTGGAGATGTGAGACGACCATGTCAGGTTCTCTGTGATGCTGATTCCCAGGAACCTGAAACTGTTCACCTGCTCCACCTCAGCTCCACTGACAGGACTGGGTGTCTTTATCTCCTTCTTCTTAAAATCAATGATCAGCTCCTTGGTTTTGCTGACGTTGAGCAAAGATTACAAGCTATTCTGCAAGATTATGAGTTTCCTCCCAATAAAGTCTCATCATTGTTTGAAATCCAGCCGATGATGGTGGTGTCGCAAACTTCACAGCATGGAGTTCTCTCCATGTCGGGGGATGCAGTCATGGGTGTACAGCATGAAGAGGAGGATGCTGAGCACACAGCCATGGGGGGTTCCAGTGTTGAGCACTAGAATGGAGGAGCTGAGTCCGCCAATCCGAACTGACTGGGGTCTGTTTGTGAGGAAGTCCAGTATCTAGTGTGCGGTACTTAAACCCAGAGTGCTGAGTTTGCTGATTCATGGGGAGATTGTGTTGAATGCTGAGCTGAAATCCACAAACAGCGTTCTGATGTAGGCGTTGTGAGGGCTGAGTGGAGGGCAGTGGAGATGGCATCCTCTGCGGGTCTGTTGGTTCTGAAAGCATACAGGTGAGGGTCCAGGCTGTCCGCAGGGTCTCAATAATACACAGTGTGTGGCCAACACCGACTTATTAACAGTCACCAACGTATATTTTGCGGAGAGACAGAGAGAGAGAAAGAGACACGGACTCGGAGGTTTCTCCTGCTTACTATATTTGCTTGCATGTTATAGCTGCAACTAGTCAAGTTGACAATTAACAGCAGGCCAAAACAGGAAATCTCCTGGTGCAGACTTGCTCCCTCATCTTTTTTCGAAATGAAATAAAAAATAAAAAAATGTTGTCAAATGTGCAGGTCGCACATATGCTAGTACTTGCACTGTCTCAAAAAATGGTCGCAAAATGTGAGCATTTGGTCACAGTCTGGAGCTCTGGTGTGCCTACCTGGGGACCAAATAGCCTAAACCGGTTAGTTTGGCTACTGTAAGCTTGGTGAGTACCACACTGTGGGAAGACAGGGCCCTCATCACCAGGCCTCCCCTGTGGAGGTACTGCAGACCTTCAGCAACTTGCAATATGACTGACAGCAGCAATGTGTCCTGCAGCACTGGGAAATCTGCACACTGCAGGGACAGGGAGTAGACATCACACACACACATACACACACACACACACACACACGCACAATACAGTACTGTTTACTGTCCACAGTTTAAAAGGGCAGCAATACAATGCAAAAGTTAGCATTCAGAGGCCAGTGATAATCTCCCCATCTTTTGAACAGGAAACAACCCCAAAAGGACTTAACAGTGGCTGTAAAAACTGTCACATTGAAACAGTGGAAAGATTATCAAAAAAGCACAAGGGACCGACTGTGGTTCAGGAGGTAGAGCAGGTTGCCCATTATTTGGAAGGCTGGCATGTTGTGTCCTTGGGCAAGATACTGAACCCTGAATTGCCTCTTGCGGCTGTTCCACCAGTGTATGAATGTTAGTTGTTTGAGCACTTAGGCTCAGTGTATGTGAGTGAATGTGATGTAGTGTAAAAGTGCTTTGAGTGGTTGAAAAGACTAGAAAGGCACTATACAAATACGGAGCATTTACATTCACTTCAGAAGCATAGCCATGTTTACTGCTGCCTGACCCCAGTGTGCATTGGAGAGGGACAATCGTGGCTCTCACTCCACTGTCTTTACACACCATGTCTATTTTTTAAATTTAATGATGCATTTGTTGTTGTTGTTGCACTGTTTACATACAAAATGCCTGTAGGTAGTTTTTCATGTTTGTTTCTGACACTATTCCTTTGTCTATAAAAGTCTGTAAAGAAGGAAATATAGATAAGACCAAGATAAAAGGGTATGCTGTGTATGTGCCTTAAAAACAAGTTAAGTACAGGCAAAAAATATCTGTTTCTAGTCTCTCCATCTGAAAAATGGGTCTAGATGAGGGGTGTTGACGGTCAATTTGCAGAATAGCCTCCATGTAAAAGATAATAATTCTAGTGTTTAAACTCCAGTTTTGGTGCGTTTCACATTTAGGAAGTGATTCCTAAATCAGTAAAGAGGGACGTGATCTGAAAGGACTACTGCTGAGTAATCACATCATTCCACTGAAATGGAGGAGTATTTTATTAATGTGTCACACATTGTGTCTGGTGAACAGGGGGATAGAATGAAAACTGTTTTGTTGCTGGGTTGTAGAAACGTCAGGCATCCACACAAACAAGTGTAATTAGAGCTCTAGCTGTATTAACTGGGGTTCGGTTTTTTGGATTGATTTGGTTAACCTTATTTTTGCAGAACACAATAGTGTAATAATTTCACAGTATTGTAATAACTTGGCAAATATTGTATTAGCATGCCACCAATATTGTGTTAATGTTTTGGTAATGCACTGTTTTTGCATTTAAGTCATTTCTTTCAAAGAGGCAATGCTATAATCATGTCTAAAACAGTACTTTTTATTTGTGAATATTACACACTAAATTTGCCCCCTTTCCAATAACATGAAATTATACACACTATATAGCTCAAAAAATCGGAATATTATGTTTTGCATTGATCTGTATTGAATGTTTTCGCACCCAACTTATCTTATTCTAATATTATACACTGCTCAAAATAATGAAGGGAATACTTAAATTACACACCAGTTCTCGACAAACAAAATAGTTGAAAGTTCAACAGGCCTCCGAAGCACCAATAGAGGCGGGCTGTGAGCACACCCTTCATGCCACCCTCATGGAGTTTGTTTCTGAGATAGGTCGAAAACATATACACCAGTAGCCTGCTGGAGGTCATTTTATAGGGCTGTGGCAGTGTTCCTCCTGTTCCTCCTTGCACAGAGGAGCAGATACCGATCCTGTTGCTGGGTTGATGCCCTTCTACAGTTCCAATATACAACATGTCCAGCTCTCGTAGTGTAACGGCCTGTCTCCTGGTATCTCCTCCATGCTCTTCAGACTGGGCTGGGAGACAGTAAACTTTCTTGCAATGGCACATATGGAAGTGCCATCCTGGATGAGCTGGACTACCTGTGCAACCTGAATGGGCTGCAGATACTGCCTCATGCTACCAGTGGTGACAAGGACACTAGAAAAATGCTAAACTAGAGAATGATCAGTCAGGAAGGATCAGTAAAGAAAAACTGTCTGTGGCCACCACCTGCAAAACCCTTTTTGGGCCTCTCCAGTGCATCTGTTGTCACTTTCATTTGCACCAAAACAGGTAACTGATTCGAATCGCATATGCATCCTAACCGGACAGATTCATATACTATATACAATACTTATTTAGGGTACCCCCAGGATTCTCAAAGTTAAATTTAAGACTTTTTAAGACCTTTTTAATACCACCTAGGATGAAATTTAATGCCAACTTCACCACCGTATAATGGAAAATCTGTATGAATTTTAAGCCCAAGAAAATTATAATTTACAAAGTTACCTGAATTTAATAAAACAATTTATTATAATACTCACATTCATTTTTAATACACCACAGCTATTTGGGGTGTGTTTGCACTCTGGTGAAATAAAATGAATCATGGACATGACTTTGTGCAATACACTTGCACTCATATGCACAATGCACAATATTGGGTTCAGAGGAACAAGACGAAGATTTTAGAAGAAGATTTTAACACTATTTTGATAAAATATTCAATGCTGATAAATAAATGGGGAGTCTGGGGGTCCTCCCCTAGAAAATTAAACACTTCAACGTCCTGCATTCTGGAGACATTGTCTGCACCAATTTATGGCAGAATTGTCCTTATTTATATTAAGTGAAACAGAAAATTCAGGTGACAATTCAAACAGAATATAATGCAGCTTGTTTCTTAGATTAAGTTACTTCTTTTGGAAAATGCACATTTGTTTCTTCTATATTTGTATTGCATGTTTTCTCAAAGCATTTAAATTTTTTTTTAACATTTCTTGTTGCAAACATATTTAACAAATGCTTTAAAAAAAAGTGATGGAGACATGTCCCCAGCATCCCCAGCGTAAATGACACCTATGAAATGAACACAATATTTGTCGCACTAAGAACTCTTATGGTGTGAAACCAAAAATACAATATAAATTGTGCAGTATGATTTGTTACAATAAGTTACATCTTGGCTGGATAAGGTAATGAAATATATATATATATATATATATATATATATATATATATATATATATATATATATATATATATAATACCAATGTAAATGCCAATTGCTTCAGTGATTATTCATCCTGTTCTGTTTTTGCATCCAAAGGCTGCTTGATAGTGTAATATAGTGTTGGCTTGAAAGCAGCGGGGATAAGGAGGAGTGCTCCGGTTAGTTTTTTCCTCATCTTGGTGATCGGCCCATCTGGGTGATGTAGTTTAATGTGTGTTCGCATGTTGGATGTTTCCATTCACATAATGTTACCCTACAACAGTGGCACAACGCCGAGACACAGACACGGTCCTCTTCTCATACACCCTTCTCTCCATTACTGTTGCATGCAGTCTTCCAGCTCCACTGTTACCATTAGCGCTCCCCACAGTGTGACTGACTCGCACACCGATCCTCTTGATGTGTTAACCTCAGCGCCACTGCCCTCAGCCTTGTCCGCCAACTTGTCCGCATCTCTGGCTTTCTGAACTTCAGACCCTTGCCCATTCTGAGCCGACCAGCTAACGTTAGCTTATTAGTAGCACGTCAGAGACGTTTTATTTTCTTTCCCAACAACTGACTGATTCGCGCAGAGCTTGGATGGCGGAGCTCGTGCACCGCAAACACTCCACAGTCCAGAGCGTAAAGCTGAACATTGATGTAAACAGTAATGTTACCTGTACTGCCAGATAACAGTTATGGCATTCATTTAATTGAAAGGCCAAGAAAAAATTAAGACCTTTGCAAACGAAATTTAATACTTTAAGGCCTTATTTTTAGAATATGAAATTTAAGACTTTTTTTAATACTTTTAAGACCCCTGGGTATCCTGTTATTACATTATCAGGTTCTGCAAGAAAATTTAATAACCTCCCGTAAATGTAACAATTAAAATTTTGGTTAAGACATTTATTACATTATTTTATTTCATTTTTGATGGAGTTAAAAGATTTTTTACATTATTGGGTTTTACAACATTGCTCACACTAACAAAGCCAAACTGGTTGGCACATATGAAAAAGGCAGAGCCAGATTTACAGAGATCTTGAAGGGAATGGAACCAGGAACTAGCATCTCGTGACGCTTTGAAGGACAAGGTCATTGAGAAAGACGGCCAACACTTCTCATGTTCATCTCCTTTGTCATTGTCATTAAAAATTAGAATCATCTAAATCAGCCGAGACAATGAAAATCTATGGTGTAAAATATTTGAAAATAGCAGCCAATGTTGGAATTCAGGTGGCTAATGGGATTTTTCAAAAGAGGTACACTCTTTGCAGCTTCTTTCTGGATTAAAAAATTTTTTTTGAAGGTTCAGCCACCATACTCTGACACAGTATTTTGCCAATCAAATTAAACACCTAATGATGTTTGGTCATTGGAATTTTAATTGGAACATCATTTTCTACATGATTTGTCAAAATTGGTTGAGACAGCATCATTTAAATGTAAATTTAATGTTTTGCATTGTGTGTTGAATAGTTACCAACTGCAGCTTTAAATCTCAGTTTAAGATGTGTATGTCCAAGATAATTTTGTGAAATCACAAATAGTTTGAAGCCAATTGGGCGGCTGTGGCTCAGGAGGTCGAGCTGGGTTGCCCATTAATTGGAAGGTCGGCGATTCAATCCCCGGCTCCTCCAGGCTGCATGTCAAAGTGTCCTTGGGCAAGATACTGAACCCCGAATTGCTGTTCCGCCAGTGTATGAATGAGTGTGAATGTTAGTTTCCGTTTGAGCACTTAGGCTCAGTGTACGAATGTGTATGACTGGTGAATGCAGATGTAGTGTAAAAGCGCATTGAGTGGTTGAAAAGACTAGAAAGGTGCTATACAAGTACGGAGCATTTACAATTGTGGTGTTACCATTAGTATATTAGGGTGGTAATGCATCAGTGGATAAGACACATGCTTTTGGTGTGGGAGACCAGAGACACCTGTGTCCCTGTGCAAGACACTAAACCCTTGGTTACTTCATTTTTTGTTTGAAAAACATCGTAATTCCTTAATGCTCCCAGATCCGATTTTTTTTGATTGACAGTTCACATTATAGTTTAAATGTGGTCCGTATCAGACTCCAGTGTGAACTGTCCGTGGCCTGAAAGTGACCCGCATGCGCAGAAGAATAACACAACATCAAACGCAGCACGCTGTTGCAGGCTACAGAAGTAAACAAGGAGCAACAGAGGTTACCTCCGGTTAGCTCACGGGGGACATGCGTTTTTTATTGTCCTCTCACGGATCACATTTCTCCAGAATGATGACAAGTGTTCACAACTTTTCACACATGTCATTCTGTACTTGCTCCTTGTTTACTTCTGTAGCCTGCAACAGCGTGCTGCGTGTGATGTCGTGTTATTCTTCTGCGCATGCGGTTTGCGCAGCGGTTTCTGCCGCTGGACAACGCAACTGCCCCCCCCCCCCCCGCTCTGTCCCCACTCTGTGTCCACTCAGAGAAGTAGCATGCACGTAACTCAGAAGAGAGCCCCGGTCCAGTGAATTTCAGGTATAAGAAAAGGAATTTGTGAACAGATGATAGCGAGGTAGAAGGAAGAGAGCCACATGTATAATAAAGGCTTTTTGTGGAGCTTTTTCGTTCAGCGCGGCTCCGTCTACAGCAGAACAGCTGCTCTACAGTGACGTCAAAGTCACATCAAATGCAAACAGAGTGTCCAGACTGAGGTTGCATTTAAAAAGATCCGATCTGTATTGGATTGGACCACATATGGAAGTGGTTGGAATCAGGTTCCATGTCACTTAGCCTGTTCACACGGTCATAGAAAGATCAGATCTGAGTCACACATGGGCAAAAAAATCGGATTTGGGTCACATTGGCCTGCAGTCTGAACGTAGCCTTAGAGTGGTATTATATCCTACCCAAGCAAAATGACAGCATAAATCTTATGTACTCTGTGTGCCTTAATGGACTGTAAAATCCTCCAGGTGTTACCCTGTTGTGCAGTAGGGTGTGCAGAGTTCCGACGTTGACAGGCTCAAACACCAGACTGGTCCTCTGAAGGTCATCAGAAAGACTCACGGCCATCAGCTGCAGTAGTTGTGGGTGGAACAGCTGACTGTGTACAGTACACACATACACACCAAAATATTCATAAGCAAAATTTAGGAGCACACAATGAAATTTGGAAGCACAGTAAAAAATGTTCTAGTAACACAGAGTTGATTTAAGCAATAGCTCACTTCAGGCCGTGGTATATCACGGCCTGAAGTGAGCTATTGCTTTTATAAAATGGTTAAGTGTGGAAAAAATAAAGTAGGCTAACAGACGCACTAGAAATTTTGCACTCTTTCGGAGAAGAGCTCTTAAACATCGGACTTTCAACTGCTCACACTATTCCACCGCTCCTGATCGAACCTGGAACTTTCCCAGAGTTATTAGTTGGAGGAAAAGCAGCTCTGTACGGGATCCTCCGGAGACGCCGAAGGGGAAAACGTGCAGGCGCACTGGTTAAACTGAGGCAGCGGGGTTTCACACTGCGCTGCCTTCTATCCACCTGCCGAATGTCCGCTCTCTGGCCAACAAAATGGATGAACTGCTGCTCCTCAACAGAACTAACTTGGACTTCTGCTGATCTGCTGCCCTCTGTTTTACTGAGTCCTGGCTCACTGAACACATCCTGGACAGCGTACTTCACCTACCGGGATTTAATCGTTTCTGGGCGGATCGCGTAACGGAGCTCACAGGAAAAATGAGACAAAGAGCAAACCTCAGCCACGAACTCCCAAAGTACAGACATATTAAGTGTCCCACCAGGGACACTAACACACTGGACTACTGCTACACAACATTAAAGGACGCCTATCATTCTATCCCCCGTGCAGCCATAGGGCTCTCTGATCACTGTCTGGTTCATCCTAACCCAACCGGCAGCGACTGAAACCTGCTAAACCTGTTGTAAAGACTATGAAAAGATGGACCAACGAGTCAAAGCTGGAGTTCCAGGCCTGTTTTACTGGAGTGTTTTTGAGGCTGCAGCCACTGACCTTGACGAACTAACCGACACTGTGACATCAGTTTTTGTGAGGACATGTGTGTGCCGAGTAAAACCTTCCACACATACAACAACCAAAAACCCTGGTTGACAGCGAAACTCAGGCAGCTTCGTCAGACCAAAGAGGAGGCCTTCAGAAGTGGGAACAGAGTCCTGTACAACCAGGCCAGGAACACTCTGACTACAGAGGCCAAAGCAGCAAAGAGGAGCTACGCTGAAAAGCTAGGAAACAGCTTCACAGCGAGCGACACTGCGTCAGTGTGGAGAGGCCTGCAGACACTCACTAACTACAGGAGACCATCCCCCAACTCTGCTGGTACTCAGCGACTGGCTGACAAGCTGAATGGTTTTGACTGTCGGTCCCCCGCTCCATCTTCAACTTCAAACAATCACCTTCCCCCACTGCCACGCTGTCACCCCCCCTCTCTGACTCCTCACCTGCAATCATGATCTGTGAAGAAGATGTGCGCCAGAAAATCAGGAAGACTCCTGGCCCCAGCGGTGTGTCACCATCCTACCTGAACCTCTGTGCAGACCAGCTGGCCCCCATCTTCACACAGATCTGCAACAGATCACTGGAGCTGTGTGAAGTTCCCTCCTGCTTTAAACGCTCCACAATCATCCCGGTCCCCAAAAAACCCTCCATCTCTGGACTAAATGACTACAGGCCTGTCGCCCTGACATCTGTAGTCATGAAGTCCTTTGAAAGGCTGGTGTTGGCCCACCTGAAGGACATTACAGGCCCCTTGCTGGACCCCCTGCAGTTTGCCTGCAGGGCTAACAGGTCAGTGGATGATGCAGTCAACTTGGGACTGCATTACATCCTGCAACACCTCGACTCTCCAGGGACATACTCAAGGATCCTGTTCGTGGACTTCAGCTCGGCGTTCTGTACAATCATCCCGGACAGTCTCAGCACCAAACTCACCCAGCTCACTGTGCCAGCCTCCACCTGTCAGTGGATCACAAACTTCCTGACTGACAGGAGTCAGCAGGTAAGACTGGGGAACATCACATCCAGCACCCGGACTATTAGCACTGGCGCCCCCCAGGGGTGTGTGCTCTCCCCCCTCCTCTTCTCCCTCTACACCAACGACTGCACCTCAAGAGACCCATCTGTCAAACTCCTGAAGTTCACTGAAGACACAACGGTCATCGGCCTCATCCGGGACTGTGACGAGTCAGCCTACAGACGGGAGGTTGATCAGCTGGCTCTCTGGTGCGGCCAGAACAACCTGGAGCTGAACACGCTCAAAACTGTGCCTAAAGAGCTGCTGATCCACTTCTACACAGCCATCATCCAGTCTGTCCTCTGCATGTCCATCACTGTCCGGTTTGGATCTGCCACCAAAAAGGACAGGAGCAGACTACAACGTACAGTCAGGACTGCAGAAAAGATCATCGGTGCCAACCTGCCCTCCATTCAGGAGTCAGGAATCGGGGAGGAAACATCACTGAAGATTCATCTCACCCCGGACACAACCTGTTCCAGCTTTTTCCCTCTGGCAGGCGCTACAGAGCACTGTACGCCAAAACCAACAGACTCAGTAACAGTTTCTTCCCACAAGCCATCACTCAAACAAACAGCTGACTCTGACTCACAGTGTCAGGAACAATTCCCGTTCAATAACCCAGTAACTCTGCCTCTAATCAGCCACCTGTTTACTGACTACCACTTATCATTTATTCATCATTCTCTATTTCAGAGCTGTTCATATTATCATATTGTATACTGTATACCAAATCCACCTACCTCATGTACATAACACCTGCACATAATACTTTTTTATTCCAGCATTCTTTGCATTCATCACACTGTGTACATGTATTCATGCATGTGTGTGCACCTGTATATCACATCCACCTCTGACATGTACATAATAATAACAATAATGGTAATATCAATTTACTCCTGCATCCTTTGCATTCTGCTCATTGCACTATTGTCTCAATCTGTCTGTTTTGTTTATAGCGTGTTTGCTAACCTGTAACCTGTAAGCCTGTGTTTGATTTTATTACTGTATTATTGTGTTATTGTATAAGTAAGCACATTGTGAGCATTGTACAATCCAGAGTCAAATTGCTGGTATGTGTACACATACTTGGCAACAAAGCTGATTCTGATTCTAAGACTGAACTCTTGGTCATTCCAGCCAAGCAATCTAGCCACCATAACATCAAACTACAAAGTGACTCCTCAACCATCACTCCAACCAGGGTGGTGAGAAACTTGGGTGTCACCTCAGACCTCTTAGCCCGCTGCATCAATACCCTTCACATAGGCTATCTGACTCCATACGCAGTCGTTCTTCCATGTTTCTTCTGGCATTCTTTGGCTTTGCTGGCATTGCTCAAAGTTTACTGCCTCTAACCTCAACTATCATCCAACTCAACATGGAAACATGTCTAATATTTCCATTCATTCCGCCAACACTCTCATTAATCACCTTAAATGCAGCAAGGCCACCAGTCTGGTCTACCGCAACCCGTCTACATCTTTCGACCTGAATACCTAAGTCCATTTGTAAATATACATGGACTCTAGACTAGCTAGGCAAGCTTCCTCCCAAGACCCTCTGTTTGTCAAAGAGATGGGGAAAGTGGCCATATGCTTCTAGTTTCACCACCACCTTCACCAAATCTTATTCAAATCCGAAATATCCTCAGAACTGTACCCTGGGCATTCGTTCCATTTTGGAGCAGCCTCCACCTCTTCCAGGCAGAGAATTCCTGACCACATACTTCAAATTCTGGAGGCCTCTGGTCCTCTCCAGCACACCTTACTTACAAGATCTAATCAGAAATGCCTACGTACACCTTTCTGTCTAAAGTTATTTTCCCTCATCCCTCACTCACACACATTCTTCCCCTACCAACCAAAAATCATTCTCTCTCAGTTTTTGTTCTTTCCCCACACACATCCAGTTCTCTTACCTGCAGTAGTCCTGTTCTATAAGCAGCAGGTCCAAATAGGCTGTCTGACTGTCCCTCTTTGTTTTTACTGTCACCCTGGAGCCCCTCCAGCTGTAACTGAAACACACAATGGCAATCAATTTGGTGATCAATGTAATAAAATATCTCTGGGTTAAAGAAAATGTCATTACTTTCAAATTGCCTACTCCAGGCCAGTGTGCTGCCTTCCTTAGCCTATACATTTTTACTAATAATAAAAATGTTGACAGAAGGTTGAGCGACACGGGCCAGGTTTGTTGGTCTATTCCATTTGAACATCTCGCTGCCCTTATCCCCGCCCCATCCGTCTCACTCACACACCACAGTGACACTGACAGCTGAAACACGAGCTACAACAGAAAATGGAAAAGCAGAGTTTGAAAACGTTAAGGGTCGGGCTGAAAAGTTCAGAGACAGAAAAAATCAAAGGTCTTAGCTGAAATACAAGTAAATGTAAAAAGGTAACCGACTCATTCTGTAGTACTACTAGTTCCAGGGCCACAGACGCTAAGACTGGGAAGAGGAAGAGGCCACAGCCCTGTTCACGGCTTAAAGATTAGACAGAGTGGACAGTGAAGCCAGAGATAGTGCAGCTGAACGGTAGATATGTGTCTGAAATGTGTTAATACAGCATGTTATCAGAATTTATCAGTGAAATGCAAATGCTGTTGGTCAGCTACTGTTTTGTAAATGTACCATAAAAAAAGAACTGAGGTGAAGAGTACAAACCGGCTGGTGGAAAAACTCGAATCTGATGTTTAACATGAGTAAAGCTCTGAATGTTTACATTTCGCTGTCCTGTGGGGATTTTGTGTAAAATAAATCACTTCAGTATCAGTGATTCACGAGGTGTTCAACCAGTTTTTTATTGTCTACTCCCATGACTTAAAGCCAACCAGCTGACACTGAGCAGCTGTTTGACAGTTCTCTGTGTCAGAGAGGATTGTGGATATTTTAGTCTTTTTATGTTGAGGCTTCATGTGATTTGAGGTAGTTCAGTCGTGACAATTTCAGTGTGTGTTCTGCAGCCTTTTTAAAGTAGTACTGCAATAGTGATTAATGGCTGGGATGCTGCTAGGTGGTTGTATGAGAGGCTAGACCTGTCTGTACGTGCGTGCATTAGCAGCGCGGCCATGGTGGGGTATACAGTGGACCGTTCCGGTGGGCTGGTCTGGATCAAAGTCCAGGGTAATTTTTTACTCCCAGTGCATCCCTGTTTTGTACCCAATCTCATTCGGGTCTCATTATAATGTTATTTTGGCATACGATAATGTAAATGTAAATCATTTATCCCAGTCATTGTTTTTGGTACGGTACTTTCTATGGAGTATAACAAATCAGTGAACAGGAAAAGGGTCTTAACATGACTGAACATATTTTTTCATTTATTTTCTTTTTATGAAAAAGAATTTGCTTTTCAACATTACACATGAAGCGAACAAAACAAAAATTTTAAAAATTACACATGGCTAAAAACACTTCCTTATTACACTTCCTTACAATTTAAAACATAACATCGCTCAGCTCATCATAGACAGATTGTCTATGATGAGCTGAGCGATGTTATGTTTTAAATTGTCATCCTTTTCTGTCTTTCTTTTGTTATAGAAAATGGCTTTTGTTAAAGCTTTTGTTAAAAAACAAAAATCAAACACACTCATATTGTTTTGTATTTTATAGCAGAGAGGATTTAAGTAAAATGTTACTTTCACTGTGTTTCACTCTGGTCAGCAGGGCTGCTGCAGCCCCTCAGCCCCAACTTCCCATACTAATGCTTCTCAGCACTGTGTATGAAATATTGAGAGCTACCGACAACTAAATTCCTTGTATGTGCCAACATACTTGGAATTCTGTGTTTCTAGTGTGGTTCTAGACATGGTTCTGAGTGATTTAGTAATGGTCTTACTTGGTCATGGACATCATAGAGCCGCAGGTGAAGGATAGCAGTGGTTCATCATCAGTTATGGTTAGATCACTCTCTCTGATCAGTGGAATAGAGGCTGGCATTGCCAACCCCTGGCATGGCTTGTTTACACAGACCTAGGCAAACAGGAAGAACACTCAGGCCTCTCATTTAACAGTTTTATACATCAATATTGCATTCAATCAAATTCTGGTTTTCAAGTCACTGATTTCTATTTGTTAATCATGATGTGTTTATTTGTGTATTTTGAATGTATCTGTAGATCCTGTTTGTGTTAACAAATATATGTAATATGTATTTGTGACTCATCATCATCAGCAGAGACTGGAGAGAGACCTCAACACCAACAACACCAAAGATATGTGGCAGGCCATAAAAAACATCACAGGCTACAAAAGCAGGAGCTCCCCCATCATGTGTGTGGCCACATTACTCCAGAGGACTGGCCACTGTCAGTATCCACAGCACTTTGTGTACGAAAATTGAGACACAAATACACAGAAGTGCTAATAAACAGTATAAGCTACCGCTATCACTAACTGTTGATACACGGAGAAGCCATCTCGGATCACACAGTCGGGGGGTAAAGGGTTCTCCTGACTTTCCGAGTCGGAAATCCTACTCCAGCTGACATATACCATAAAAACCTGAGCCAATTAGCTAGTTGATGTTATTACTGAAATTTTCAACCTCTCACTGTCTCAATAGAGGGTTCCCACCTGCTTCAAGACAGCCACCATCGTTCCTGTACTAGTGTCTAGTCTAAACGACTACAGCTGCCCTCCACTCAGCCCTCACACACCTTGAGAAAAACTACACCTACGTCAGAATGCTGTTTGTGCTCAGCATTCAATACAATCTCCCCATGAAACTAATCAGCAAACTCAGCACTCATGGGCCCCCCAGGGCTGTGTGCTCAGCCCCCTCCTGTTCCTGATTTAAACCCATGACTGCATCCCCGACATGGAGAGAACTCTGTTGTGAAGTTTGCGGACGACACCACCATCATCGGCCGGATTTCAAACAACCATGAGACTTAATATCGGGAGGAAATCAAAAATCTTGCAGAGTGGTGGACAGAGAACAACCTACTGCTCAATGCCAGAAAAACCAAGGAGATAAAGACCAGTGTTTCCCATACATTCATTTATTTGTGGTGGCCCACCACAATATCAATGCTGACTGCCACATATTGATTTTCGATTTTTTTTTCTAGGCCTATTTAAAATCATATTTGGTTGCAGAGCGCCATAGCGCATTTGCGCAGCACATCCTCTTGCTCATCCCTCTCTCTCTCTCACCCGTCCCTCTCTTTCTTGCTCTCTCTCCTTCTACCCCATGAACACAGCTGCACAAATCCGTTCAACACAACGCTGTCAATGTCGGAGACCCGGCTTAAAAAAGTTATTAGCAAGCATGTAAGGAGCCTAGCTAATAAGGAGTATTAAGTTAATGTTAGAATGCAGCAGGGTTTTCGAGGTTAACACGCTGTATATAGCTGGTAGTCAATATCGACTGCACGTGCACGAGATAGGGGGTGAAATGCAGGGCCACAGGCTGAATTTGAACCTGGGTTGCTGCAGTAAAGACTCAGCCTTGTACCAAGTATGTTTACCACGCCCCACAACTGTATTTCTTAAGGATGTTTATTTTTTATTGTCTGAGAGAACGACACCTGCTGTGAAAACAGAATCAAGTTCAATTTGGTTGATTTAATATAAATCATAGCCAACTGCTGACGAAGAAAGAGCAGACACACATATGGACAGAGAGACAGAAAGGCGGGCAAGTCAGTGTGTGTGCAGTAAGAGTAGGTGTGTCCTAAAAACAGAAGTGAAGGGAAAAGCAAGGTGAGTAAACACTACAATTAGCTGGAGAATTTAGTAGAATAAAAATGGTGAAATAAGAAATAAGCTACAATAAATAGGGTAACGTATTCTCAAATAAAATACATAAACCCCACCACAGTACACTGTCATTCTGTGGGAACACTGCAGTCTTTACAATATTATGTACTATGATAGGCTACACTATGTTTCATTTTGCAGCTTGGTAAGGTGATGTGGCATGAGGTTGTTTTAAAAAGGTAGAAAACTCCTGGTATACTGTATGATGTGATATACCTTCCCAAAACCTAAACAGTGGGCTGTTGGACAGGAAGACTTGCTGTTTGTCCACTTTTTGGACTGCATGTCAATTTCACTAAAAGGAGAGGAAACACACACAGTCAGTTGTTTATACAGTACACAACCAACAACTGTGCACTGTTCATCAGAAAATGGTGTTTATTCAAATTACCCGATGTTATTATTTCATATATATTTGATTATGTAGTAATATTTTTGTATATTAATTATTTTTTAGTAGAACAACAACAAAGTACTCTATATTTGAAGTGTACAAAACACAATGCCACCCACACTGAATCAGAAACCAGATGTGAGTGGGTATATGAGAGTGTATGGCTATCTCTATAGCTCTGACCTGTGGCTATTACTGCGGTGGCAGGGGAAGAGCATCTGTGGTGTTGTTCTGCCCTCGATACTCTACCTGAGGTAGGTCTCACTGAAAGACGCCTGTTGAACTGCCTGCTTGGTTTTCATTTATACATTTTTCTCTGCACTACATTGATAATTCTAAAAAAAGTACTTCTGAAGACAGCTAAACCAAAAGCTTTTAGCACTTTTAGTAAAGCTCTGTTTCAGCCTTATTACCACAATAAAAGCATTTCAAGGTCAGACTGCTATTTAGCTTAGCTAAAACTGTGTGCTGTGGTGCTAGCTTTAATGAGGTTTGGATAAAACGTCTTAGAACATATAATATTCTTCAGTAGGAGAACAAAACAGTACACACCCAAACACAAGCACACACACACACACACACACACACACACACACAGTGTAACCATATTTTGTTTTTCAATAAAGAGGACAGTGGGGGCAGGAGGCAGACGGACAACCGCAGTAGGTGGACAACAATTTGTATTACAACAATAATTTTAGTAAAACATAACAAGAGGAACGTGTTGCTCTCAAGAAGAGAGACAATTATTCCCACAAATTTTACTTGGCTAGAATCTGCCTACAGATTGTTTATAGGCCTATTTGTAACATTTTGTTTTCTGTCTTGTTTGATTAGTGCTAATGTTAGTGTAGGTATTATAATTTCAGATAAAAGGATCCTATAGCTTACCACTAGTATAATTTAAATTCCAGTTCCAGCAGTTTAATTATGGTACCTTGTTCTCATTATTAAATCCTTGTGCAAGAAAATTGCTGTAGCACCACGTCAAACTTTTTTTAATGTCCCACCCCATCGAGGCTGTGGTCAGTTTAAAAGAAGTGACATTGATGAGAAATATCCACACGCTTTGATAAAAGCACTGGATCTTATCTTAGATCACTAGTCTGTATCCAACGGTGGAGAGGGAAGAGTACCAACAGCTTGTGAGGTACCAGTACGTAAGAAAAAGTCCTGGTACGCCAAAGAGTAAAATGTAGAATTGCCTGTACTGCATGCCAGTGAGTACCAGCTTACATCAACACTGCATTTGGGCATTTTTTTACGCTGTTGACAAGCAAGTCTCTTGGCTGTTGAAGTGGTGCTGAGGGCTTCTGGTCTGAGACGTGACTCCAAAGCGGAAGTCCCTGAAACCTGCATTCTTTTGAACGGCCAGCAGGGGGCGACTCTTCTGGTTGCAAAAAGAAGTCCAGTTCCATTAGAAATAATGGCAAAATGACCCTACTTCTCAGCTGAATAATTACCTCAGTAAACACTTTCCTGATGAGTTTATGGTCTCAGTCACTAGTTTCAAGTCTTCTTCAATACAGCATGATGTTCATTTAGTAAATTATGGTCCCATTTATTTTAAAACAGACCATTAAGGAGAGTATGTTTCAGGGCGGGATTATCTATGATTGACAAGTCGTTACCATGGCAACCTGTCAATCAGGCTAGAGCCAACTCATACCCTCGGCACTGTGTAAATTTTAACCAGCACCGTTGAAAAAGCTTATTAGGAGTTGGCTGTTCACTTTCTCTGTTGAGTACATTTAGTTTTAAGACTGTTGTTCGCTAGACAAAGTTATCAGCCCTGTTAAAATGACAGTTAACGTGAGTTACAGTTGCACCTAGCTAAGCAAGCAAGCTAGCTCCGCACACAGCCGTTAGCTCCACCCTCTCATCCAAATATGGTCACTTCCGGGCACTTCCTGGTTGCAAAAACTCAACATGGCATCGGTCATACTCAATGCTTCAAAACAGCAGTCCACAAACCAACGGATGACGTCATGATGACTACATCCATTTCTTATATACAGCCTATGATTTTAACCAATATTCACATGAAAGACATGTAGGCCTAAATGACGACCATTTAGTGTTGTGTGAAAAAGGTGGGCCTAAAGAGAAAGGTCAAAGCAATGCAAAAACATGAATGCACTGAACATGAAACAATATGACGCTGTATATATGTAGTGCAACATACCGTGATTTCATGCGATCCAGCAAAGATACAGGGTGTAACAAGATGGAGGCTGAGATGTGGGACGGCCTACAGTGGAGTTTTGTCACGCCTGGGCTCTGACACAGCTGTTGCATCGAAGAGATGCATCTCCCCAGGAAGTCTTGCATCTAATGATACATTAATCAGATGGATTAGACCAGTTAATCAGACCAGTAATGCTGGTCTCATCTCTGAAAATGTCATTTTTACTGAAAAGTCACGACAACAATCTTGAAGCTGGGGCCTATAACATTTCTGTATCACTGTCAACATGGCACAAGTCTGAGGTGAATGCTGTCAGATTAAGGGATGCAGCATGCAGAGAGATGTGTGTCTTGTTCCACAATCTAAGATCACTGTAATGAATGTATTATTTCAATCATCTTATGCACAAAACCAGTTTAATAATCTAGGAACACTGTGAAAGTTGTTGAGGAGATTCTTCTCATACTAGAAAGTCTATAAAAACTATTTTCCAGAAGAGAACACCCACAGTAATAATTTGACCAGCACTTTCTCTATTTATTTTCAGTGTCCATCCATGTTAACTGTGCAGATGAATAAATTATCAAGAAAAATATTATACATACGGCATGACAGCAACTTAAGAATGAAAGTCTCAACTTATCATTCTGTTTTTCAATGCTTGTCCACTGTGTACCGTAAAACAGGCACCAGAATCTGCTCTCTAATAACATTAAAAGAAGGGAAAATGATGTGAAAATATATCAGTGGACTCACTGGGAAAAGGGTATTGGACCGTATTAAGGCTTCAACAGAAAAGTTTTAAAATCCATTAATGATGCAGCCTGTGAAAGGAAATCATACTATATCCCAACTCTGCTCTTGTTCTCTCTCTCTTTATTTGTAAGGAACATTAACAAAAAAGACAACTTTTGTTTCTAAATGACAAACTCACTTTGACAGATAGATGAAGCCAGCTAATATAAGTATTCCATGTCCGAAAAGGGCATAGTAGTGTCAGAACTAGATCTCGAACTAGAAGAAAGTTCAGTACATATCTCAGTGTATTCCCACCTCAGAGCAATTGTAGAATTCAGTGTTTTTGGAGTTTGACCCAAACTAGGGAATAAGAGTCAGGATATCCCAGTGTCCGCTTCTTTGACTGTTTGTTAATGGATATGCAATCCCTGGAATAGCTCTTTCACCCGTCACACTGTTGTTGCATCTATGCATATTAGAGAACACGGACACAAAATTGAGCTGTTTCCACTCGGCAGCTTACCCTGGCGCTGCCTTCCTGCTTCGCAGCCCTGAGCCAGTCAAAGGGCGTCCTGCCTTCCACATCATGGAGTCTTAAATCTCCTCCAGCATCCAGCAAGCTACTCACTACTGAAGGGTTACAGGAGAATACGCCTGCATGAACTGGGGTGCTCCAGTCCTCACAGCGACTAGAAGAAAGTTGTTTATATGTTAATATACTGTCACCTGATAGCTATCATTCTCTTTGTTGTAAGACAGTTGATGTAAACAGCAGAGGTGTGACAAAGTTATTGTTTTGTAAGGCTTGGCTAGGAAGATCTGAATAAAGTCCTAAGTCAAGACCAACAAGTCTCAAGTCAAGTCCATCTCCTAGACTTTGCATTTCCTGTCCTAAACATTACATGCCCTGTCCCACAGTTTACAGTTCCAAAAACACTTTTTCCAATTTTATAACCTTTAGAAGTACAGTATTGTATTACTGGTTCTATGTTTGATATCGTTTATCAGATCTGAATTTAGTTTCTCTTACTGAATGTTGTTGCTTGTTTCAACAATTTGCTATTAGCCGAGCCAGCGCACGTAAAACACACTGGCAGATTAAAATTTCTCCTTCTTTTGCTTTGTAAACAAGGAGGCGCGTTGCCCACGTGAGAGTAGCCTACATCAGACCCACTTATTGTATGTGTTGGCGCATCATATGGAGGCTGTCACCAGTCCCTGTTTTCTGTTCCGGTGATGCAGCAATTTTCGGAACCTGTTCTGCATTGGTCACCTGTTCCTCCTGAGTTGCAGCAACTTCCTGTTCCTTCTGAGCTTCAATAATTTTCTGCCCGTTCCTGCACTACAGCAATCCTCTGAGCAAGAACTTCAGATGTTACCAGTTTCTGAGCTGCTGATCCTGATGAGCTGCAGCAGTTACCTGATCCTGTGCTTCAGCCCCCTCCTGTTTCGCCAGCCTCCAGTCTTGCTGCCCTCTCACCAGCCTCCGGTCTTGCCTCTGTCTCACCGGCCAATAGTCCTTGTGCCCTGTCGTCTGCCTCCAGTTCTGCTGCCTTGTCACCAGCCTCCACTCAGATCGCCAGTTGCTGGGCCCTGATCCCACACTTCAGCCTCTGATCCTGTTTTCCAATCACACTGCTGTCATCCAGAGCAGTTCCTCCTGAGAGGATCTTTCATCTTCACGACCTTTAAAGGGGTTAATCACGTCTTTGCTGCCAGCTTTCTGCCCAGCCTCCAGAGTGGTTGCACCTAGGCCGCTTGCCTACTGGTTGCCTTAATGGACCGGCTCACCCTTTGGTCCTGCCTCTTGATCATCTTCTGGACCAGGCCACACACCTGACGTTTCCTGCTCAGGCCCTGTCCAGCCCTCTGGCTGGCTGCCTGAGACACTTGCCCTTGCTCTTGTTTCTTCCCTTTTTGATTTATTTGCTATTGTCAGACACTGCTGCCAGTGTACAACTTTTGTTTCACTGTTAATAAAACACAGCTAAACTAAACCTGCTCTGCCTTGATGTTCTGTGTCTGGGTCCCATCCCTATCCAAGGTGGGTTAAAATCAAGTGCAACACCACTTTGTTGTCTTGAGTCTTGAGGTCCCTAGGAGCTGGCCCTTCTGTGTTGGGCTGAGCCATGCGTTGTGTGGTGGTTGTTGCCAATATACAGGTCTGTGCATTTTTCAGTGCATTGAACAGCATGTACTAGATTGCTTTTGTTTTGTTTGGATGTAAGGTCTTTCAGGTGGATCAGTATATGTCTTTGGGGTTAAAAAACACAGGGATGTTGAAAAAGTTTTGGTGTTCTTCCTGGATCTTGTGGCTCTTCACAAAGGTTCAGTTTGAATATCCATAGCTTTAAGTGCATCCTTCCTCTTCTTGGGCTTGGGCTGCTCTGTGGTGCAGGCTTCTGATAACCCCTAGCTTATGCTACAGTGGTGAGAGTCAAAGTGTAACACAAAAGTGTTTAGTGGGGGCTCCTGCCCTCTTCAGTGTTTAGGACACAGTCCAAGAAGGCCAAACTGTTGTTACTCACATCCTATTGTGTGAACTTGATGTTATGTCCACTGAGTTGATGTGTTCTGATTTTGAACCATGTGTCATCCACATAGCCCTACCAATTGATCAGTGCTGTTCGCCTGGACGAGTTCAGTGCTCTGTTCGGCCTGTCACAATAATTACATTATCAACTTATTATGCGCTATATGGACAGGACCTCGACCATTTTTACTGACCTTGATATTGCCCATTGTGTTTACATGTGTGTTTATTTACATAAGAATGAATGTTGCAACATTTTAGCCAGTCGCTGCTTTGGCCCTCTTGTCTGCTTTTTGAGGCACACGCACAGAGCGGACAGCGACAGGTAAAGGTGTTATTATTGGTGTTTAGAGCTGAAACGATTCATCAATTAATTTGATTAATTCAATTGCTCCATATAACTACACTGCTCAAAAAAATAAAGGGAACACTAAAATAACACATCCTAGATCTGAATGAATGAAATAATCTCATTAAATACTCCTTTCTTTACGTAGTTGAATGTGCTGACAACAAAATCACACAAAAATTATCAATGGAAATCAAATTTATCAACCCATGGAGGTCTGGATTTGGAGTCAAAGTGGAAAATCACACTACAGGCCGATCCAACTTTGATGTAATGTCCTTAAAACAAGTCAAAATGAGGCTCAGTAGTATGTGTGGCCTCCACGTGCCTGTATGACCTCCCTACAACGCCTGGCCATGCTCCTGATGAGGTGACCTCTGGACTAAAGCATCCGCCAACTCCTGGACAGTCTGTGGTGCAATGTGGTGTTGGTGGATGGAGCGAGACATGATGTCCCAGATGTGCTCAATTGGATTCAGGTCTGGGGAACGGGCGGGCCGGTCCATAGCATCAATGCCTTCCTCATGCAGGAACTGCTGACACACTCCAGCCACATGAGGTCTAGCATTGTCTCGCATTAGGAGGAACCCAGGGCCAACCGCACCAGTATATGGTCTCACAAGCGGTCTGAGGATCTCATCTCGGTACCTAATGGCAGTCAGGCTACCTCTGGTGAGCACATGGAGGGCTGTGCGGCCCCCCAAAGAAATGCCACCCTACACCATTACTGACCCACCGCCAAACCGGTCATGCTGGAGGATGTTGCAGGCAGCAGAACGTTCTCCACGGCGTCTCCAGACTCTGTCACGTCTGTCACATGTGCTCAGTGTGAACCTGCTTTCATCTGTGAAGAGCACAGGGCGCCAGTGGCTAATTTGCCAATCTTGGTGTTCTCTGGCAAATGCCAAACGTCCTGCTGTAAGCACAACCCCCACCTGTGGACGTCGGGCCCTCATACCACCCTCATGGAGTCTGTTTCTGACCGTTTGAGCAGACACATGTACATTTGTGGCCTGCTGGAGGTCATTTTGCAGGGCAGTGCTCCTCCTGCTCCTCCTTGCACAAAGGTGGAGGTAGCGGTCCTGCTGCTGGGTTGTTGCCCTCCTACAGCCTCCTCCACGTCTCCTGATGTACTGGCCTGTCTCCTGGTAGCGCCTCCATGCTCTGGACACTACGCTGGCAGGCACAGCAAACCTTCTTGCCACAGCTCGCATTGATGTGCCATCCTGGATGAGCTGCACTACCTGAACCACTTGTGTGGGTTGTAGACTCCGTCTCATGCTACCACTAGAGTGAAAGCACCGCCAGCATTCAAAAGTGACCAAAACATCAGCCAGGAAGCATAGGAACTGAGAAGTGGTCTGTGGTCACCACCTGCAGAACCACTCCTTTATTGGGGGTGTCTTGCTAATTGCCTATAATTTCCACCTGTTGTCTATTCCATTTGCACAACAGCATGTGAAATTGATTGTCAATCAGTGTTGCTTCCTAAGTGGACAGCTTGATTTCACAGGAGTGTGATTGACTTGGAGTTACATTGTGTTGTTTAAGTGTTCCCTTTATTTTTTTGAGCAGTGTATATAGCACAGTTTCACACAGACATTTACTACGACGTGATTAAGATGGCGCTGTTCGCACAGTGGAGGAGGAGAGAGAAAAGCAACTTTGTAGGCTCATAGGCCTACTTTATTTTAATTCTCGTCAGAAACTTGGCAGCGCTTCTTCTCACACAACTGAGACACATTTGCCCTGATAGAGGTTGCAGTTGAAACCCCAAGTACAGCTTCAAGATGGGCATCAGTAGGCCTGGACCTGTACTTCAGAGTTGAGAAATGTTTCTCACACAGATATGTGCTTCCAAAAAGGCACATTAACTGAATGAACACTTTGGACAGTACTAAGAAGCATGGATGGATGTATTCCTCAGAAATTGTCTTATCAGATGTGCTTTTCCCTGTGCTTCCCTGAATTTAGTTCACTGTTACACTGTAAAGCTGATGATACACGGAGCAACTTTTAAAGCAATCGTGCAGGGCAACATTGCCGTCAATGGTAATGAGTAAAGCCTATTACCATAGTCCCCTTCCCCCACCACCCGCCCTGCACCACCGCTATCCGTTCAAAACGTTAGTCGGACTTGTCACTAGCAAGATTGCCCACCAACATTGCTCAAAAAAGTTGGCCCGTGTATCATCAGCTTTAGTCAATTAGTTCCACTTGCAACACACCTGGGACACTCTCCACATCAGCTGAGAAGGGGTCTGCAAAAAGTTGGAAAGTGTCACAGTGTGTCTTGAAATCAGCAAAGCACTCAAAGTTTTCAACAGCAGATACATATTTATCACCACTGAATGACATGCCTTCCTCTACAAGAGATCTGCATGACCAATTCAATTCAAAAAACTTTATTTATCCGTTGAGCATCAGTGCGTGTACCATTCCACAAACACAGCACAATATACCAAAAAGAAAGATTGAGTTAAAAATAGATAAATAAAGAATAAAATAACAAACGCAGACATACACATAGATGAATAAGTCCCGTGATGGTAAATGGCTGAGGTTTTTTGCAGAAAGTGGACATTTCCACAATCTCAGTTTTGCGGAGAAAGCTTTCACATTTTCATAAGTTGCTGTGATAAGCTGATCAGGGCCCTAAAGCTTCAGGTTAAGGATGTTCAGCTCCATGTCCATTAGAAAGATCCATCAACCATTTTGGATCATTAAACTCAGGAACATCCATTCTGCCATCTTTCATGAATCTCTTTACCCCTGCTCTTAACTCAAAGAATCTCCTCAGGACATTTTCGAACATATGCTGACTCAATTTCTTGGATCTGATGTAATTAATACATTTCAGGACAACAGACATATTTCAAGCACTTTCTCGCAGTGCCTGTTGGTGTGTAATGCAGTGCAGAACTACTGCTGGAACTGCTTTTTCCTTTTCTTACTTTCTTCGTACCAGCGCAACCAGGCTGTTCTTCCTGCCTGTCATAGATTGTGCTCCGTCAGTTGTAATACCTACCAGTCGGCTCAACGGTAAACCAGCACACTCAAACATGTCACACAGCTGCTGAAATATTTTGTTGGATGTGGTGCGGAAGTGCATTGGACACAAACTCTTCTCATTGATACACCTGATGAAAATTGAGAGCCAAGCCATGTCGGTTTTATCTGTGCTTTCATCAAGCGCCACAGAGAATGCAGTGAAGCTTTAACTTAATCAAGTAACATAAATGTCACTTGATAACTCGCTGATGCGCTCCACCAACATGTTTGCAGATTGCGCTGTATTGTTGAACAAGCTCTTTATTTCTGGGCATAAAATATCCGCAACTTTCACCATGCAGTGCCTCATAAACCTCCCTTCAGTAAATGGCTTTTCGACTTTGGCAATTAATTCACTCACCGCATAACTTGCTTCAACTGCAGTATCAGCGTCCTTTTTGGCTTTACAAAAAATACTTTGCTGAGATATAAATCCTCTCTTTAGCTGCGTGGCTCGTGTTGTCCTCTCGTCTCCCTGGTACTTCTCATACTACTCACCGTGTTAAGTTCAGTAATGGTGATTGATATTATATTCCTTTAAAACAACTTTTTTGTTGCATATGAGGCAGATAGCATTGCAGTTAAACTCCATAAAAAATACTGCTTCATCCATCTTTCTTGAAACAGTCTGTGTTCATCCTCCAGCTTAAAAGATTGTGTTTTAATTGTAATTATATCAAAAGGGTAGCTTATTTTGGCATTAAACTATAAACTATACTATATTTGGCGGGCCAAATATATATATTTATATATTTTTTACATCCCCTCATGGGCCTGATGAGACCTGTGGGTATCAAGTGATTCTAAGAAGGCAAAAGTTAGAGTTAAAGGGGCTGTATGTAGTGTTTCAATGTAATCACTTAATGAAGCAAATTTCCCTTATTGTTACAGGGCTCTAACCTCACTTAGAAATGAAGCCCACACCTGTTTTCTCAGTTGCTTGGAACAGCCACTATTCTACAATAAATGTGAAGGCACCAGGTCGTATTTCAGCCCTGTGCGTGCTCCCGAGCCTCCCTCTGACTACAGCAACAACACGGCAGACATGCAGTCCACTAACACCATAAAACAACTCCCAGCAAAAAAACAGACTCCACATAAACTCTAGGTGAGGTTCAGATGATGTCGATGAAAACACATCAGAGAGTCTGGAGAAACACAGTAAGTGTCATGTTAGCGCGCTGACTAACGCCGAGCCGTTGCTAATGTTATCCGGTGCAATATATTGTTATGGCTTTCCACATTACTTCACCAGCTAACACGACACATATTACTATCCTGTATACTACTGGTATTACAGTATGTCAAAGTGTTGATTTAGCCTGCAAGAAAGGATGATATGGAACAAAGCAAATGTGGAACGATTCATTTACTAGCCTTGATGCAAGGCAGGAGCAGCCAGCTACTTTAGGTCCTACTGCTGTTTGCTTTGTAACGTTCAATTTAGATTTATTGTCGTTTTACTGATACTCGGGTATATAGCTTCTCCAGTTGCTGAAACTTATGTGACCCATGTAATATACAATAATGCAAAATTACTGTGCAGGCCAGCAAAACAATATTAGAACCAGACACTACAGTAATGTTACTTACTGTGGTCTAACCAAAAAATAATAAATAAAGTGTGCCAGCAATCTCATTTATAACTTTAGTATAGCTCACTAACCGTTTCGTTATCATCCACTATATTTAGCGGTGTCGACATTGCTGAGCCTCCTTTGATACACAAATACCTTAAAACTTCAATTAATAGCTCCAAATAGCTGCTTACTGGCCCGTTTACTGGCCTGGTGTGGGAACACATTTTGATAAATAACGCAGGTCCCCATTAAAAGCCTTGTCTGGTTTTTATAGAAGTTCTCTGTATGTATAAAACCTTAAACCCTGCGGTGTCGCCTGCTTTAGCTGCTTCTAAGCTGCTTAGATCGTTAATGCAAATATTAATGTTTAAATGTATGATCAAAAGCTTATGTCAGTATGGACATGCTACACATCGTTAGATGGGTTAGATTCTCCACAAATCAATCGCTCAGTTCATTTAACGGAAACAACGAGCCCCAAAGCCTAAGATTTACCTGGTACAAGAGATGAAAAGGAAATAAAAGTGCTGACTCATGTTACCTTTGAACCGAATGTGTCCCTTCCTTGATTATTTATCTTCCTTTAGTCTTTAAGAGTCCACCGGTCAAAAGAATCCAAACAGCTTTTCATAAAAATTAATCCATTTGTGAATCCTGTCATGTGAAGTCCATCGCTCTCTGTCTGCTAACTTCTGACACACTTTATTGTTACGTTATGCAGCCTTGTGCTGTATAATGACAAATAAACCTTGTACCTTGTATTTTTCTCATCCTGCACCATGTTGTTGTTTTCGTTATATTGCTACCTACAAAATAAAAGCGCATAAGCCGTCTGTTGGAGCTAGATCAAATGAATGACATGTATATGATATTATTGGATCATTTTTATACAAGTAATATTCTGTTTGAAATAAATAAACTGTTTCATAGTAGTCTATTTCTGTTTTGTGCGAAAAGAATTAAAGGCCTGTCCCATATGGACGCCTGTCCCAAATAAAGGCAGGGTCAATTCAGTGATTTTAGCAAATAAAAGCCTGGGCTATTAATCAAAGTTTTACAGTAGTAACATTACTGAAAAGCATACAGGTGAGCTAACGCCAATGAATTGGCTAAATGCAGTAAATGTAACGTTATCATGTAACGAGCATGGATTATTTCAACCTCTAGCTGAGAAAAACATAACTGTAACATTGCAGTGGGAGTTTACCTGAGTTTCCAGCATGTTGTGTGAAGCTGTCTCCCTGTCTCTATAGTAGCTCTCACACTGCCTTTTTTTCCCGGGACTATCGTGCCAATATGCCAGTGTCTCGCTGCGCTGTATGAAAGGAACAGAGCCAGTGCTGATCTGCCTCTGAGGTGGGAACGTTGAAGTAACAGAGCCTAAACATGAAAGCGGTTGTGTTTCGGGTTATGTTCGCTCATGAGTTCAAGAGAGCACGCGTACGAGCACACACCTGGTTGCAATCTTTAAACCGCAGCACTAGTGGCCACTGAAAACTCCATATTACCCCATATTAAGTCACAGAGTCAGAGTCATCAGATTTATGAGTCAAGTCCAAGTCATGCAACTCAAGTCAACACCTTTGTTGTTTTTAAAACAAAATAATTCAAACTTTATGAACAAGATTTTAGATTTAGATTTAGAGGCATATTTAAGTATCCTTAGAATGAGTGCCAGTCCCAGACTTACTGGTTGGGGTCAGCTCCATAATGCAGGAGTAGCTCCGTCACCTTCACCTGGCCCAACAGAGCAGCACAGTACAATGGAGTCTGTCCCAAGTGATTTGAACAGTTCACATCAACACCTGGAACACACCAGAAAACGTTAAGGGCATGTTTGTTGGTTTGCATTTTAAGTGTGTGTGTCCCTTTATTTTAAGCACTGGATGCCTGATTTAAGAATATCGCTGTGCAGGGAAACACACAAAGAGAGAGAGAGAGACGTCATCTGGTGGTACGTTAGAAGACGCAGACACGGTGGATATTTTACAGCACATCCCAGGTAAAGCAACATAAACACACCTTTTGTGCAGACGTCAATCAGTACCACCCCCATTGAGAAACACTACCATAGTACATCTTACAGGCAGGTTGTCCGCATGGCCTAAGGCAGGTGCATTATGAAGTCCTTACCTTTGTGTTGTGTCCTGAAGAAGGATGTATTTACACATTTTTTGCAGTTGTAATCATTTATATATTGAACAGATGCATAGTGCATTAATGGTTGAACACGTCTTACATACTGTCGTAAAAACGGAATCACGGGTGAAAAAGTCCAAATCGCTAGTTGTTGTAGTTTTTTTGGGAGAAAACGTAAAAGTTATTTAATAGTCAGTGTTTTTTAAAGAACGTAGTTGAATGGAAGAATTGCTAATGCCTATCAGGTGCTAATGGGGATCCTAATGAAGAAATAAAAAGAGAGGTTAAAATTTTTTTTGTGTATGCTGTCAGTTATAGTTCTTAGAATGAAAAAAAATTTGAATCAGACTTCACAAACTTGAAATAAGAATCGGCCAAGAAAATTGTAATTGGTGCATCTCTAGGTATGTCCACTTCTTTAATACAATCTATGTATTAAATTAATCTTTATTTGCATGATACCAACCTAGATGTATACCAATAGGTATACTTACAATAGAAATACTAGTAATATTACAGTAACTAGGTTACATACCCTTCTTCAGCAGTTTCTCCAACTTGCTTAGATTTCCGTCCAAAGTGCATTTGTGCAGTTGAGCGTGTATGCCTCCAGTGGTAACCACACCCACATGTACAGGACAGGGGAACGGCAATGCAGTCATCCTCTTTCTTCTGGTCCACCCAGCTGTCAGTACAGTCAGGTGACAGTTGTTAAAGCCTGTTTTTCTTCATGGGTGCTTTCAAGCCTCACATGTTGAGTGCAATAAAACAACAGTGATTTATATAATAATACAGGATCATTTGGTAACCATGGAAACAAATATGTGCATGAAGGGACTTTCCTAGATCACAAATTAGTAAAAATGAGTGTGTTGTGTTTGTGCAGTCCCTCTATTAAAAGTGAGTGAAATGTGTTTCCATTAACAATTTGGGTGTGATTTTCTAAATCAGTTAACTAGTTATGGGGAGCACTACAATCAGTTGTATAATGCCCTCTGTGGCTCCAGAGAAGCTGGAGAGACTGAAGAGACAAGACTGCATAAGACAATGAAAAGAAAAAGGAGAGCTCTGTGGTAAAAAATAAAATAACCTTCTGGTAATTTTTGAGATCAGTAATAGTCTGAGCTGTGAACACACACTGCTAGCTAGCTTACAGCTGATATCTGTACAGTTGGTACACTGGTATGAAGGTATTTTTGTGTCTCTTTAATGCAAGCAAAAAAATGTTTTGAGAGAATATTTATGGCACTGCAATCAAAAATCAAGTTTGTAATTCAAAATAAACAGGCCTCTTTTGTGTCACAAAAAGTTTTAATTGCTATTATGTCATATTATTTGATTGCAAGTGAAAAAGTTTTCCTTGCGAGTCAGAAAGTTTTGCAAGTAAAATAGTTTTGCAAGTCAAAAGGTTTTCCTTGCGAGTCAGAAAGTTTTGCAGGCTAAACCGTTTTGCAAGTGAGAGAGTTGAAAAGTTTTGTGAGTCAAAAATGGTCAAAATAAGAGATTCTATTGGTGGGTTTGACTGACCAATCATGGGTTTGCATTGACCGCCTGGCCACGCCCACAATCCCCTCCCTCCGATGGCTCCGACCAGCACTCAGCTCTACTGGAGACGGCACTGTAATGTGGACAGGCTAGATGGAGGTAAGCTGACGTTATGCCGCTCATTTCAATAAAAATGCTTTTAAATGTAGTATGGCATGATTTAATGCTTATTTATTTTTACTGTTGGCAAGGTCACAGAGTCTATCGCTGTCTCCTTTTTTAGAATGACATGTATCATGCTGCCTTGCGCCCGATGTCAGCTGGGATTGGCTCCAGCCCCCCCTGTATGCAGGATAAGCGGTTGACAATGGATGGATGGATGGATGGATGGATGGATGGATGGATTTGGTGCCAATGAGGAGAACCTTGGTTTTGTCACTGTTAAGTTTGAGGAAGTTGCAAGAGAACCAGGATTTGATTTCCGTTAGGCAATAAGAGAGGAAGGTGGGTGGGAGAGATGTGGTAGGTTTGGTGGACAGGTAGAGCTGGGTGTCATCTGCATAGCAGTGGAAATGGATGTTAAATTTACGAAAGACATGGCTAAGAGGAAGCAGATAGCTGATGAACAGAAGGGGCCCCAGGACAGAGCCCTGGGGAACACCACTAGTGATAGGGGATAGCTCTGATTTGAAGTGTTTGAGTTGGATGAACTGAGTGCCACCAGAGGGATATGATTAAAAGCAGTCCAAGGGTGTGTCAGTGAAACCAATAGAGACTTATCTGTTAAGGCGGATGTTATGAGAGATGGTGTCAAAGGCTGCACTCAGATCAAGGAGGATGAGAATAGTTAGTCGTCCGGAATCAGCTTCCATGAGAAGATCATTGGTGATTTTTACCAGCGCTGTTTCTGTGCTATGGCAGGGACGGAAACCAGACTGGAACTTCATAGAGGTCCATAGAGGTTATTGTCAGAAATGTGTACATGGGCCTGATATCCAACTGTTTTTTCAAGGATTTTAGAAAGAAAATGAAGGTTAGAAATAAGACGGAAGTTGATGAAATTGTTGGGGTCTGCACCAGGTTTCTTAAAGATTCAATGTGTAAATTTTAGTGACATCTAGTGGTGAGGGTTGTGAATTGCACCCCCCCTCCCCTATCCAAGCGAGCAGTACAGCTACGGTGTCTGAGACAGGACAAAGATGTCATCTATGAGAGAAGAGACTGCCAGTCAAGAAATGAGGTTTCTTTAGATAGATATGTTAAGTAATTATGTAAAATCATATGTTTTCTGAATATTATTGTTACTTGTTCATTAATAAACAACAGCCAAATCAAGAAATTAAGTGCTACATGATGTCTCATACTCCTGTAATACATTATTTTACATATTGAGAGTGTTAGCTCATCTGGAGTAACATACGAAAGAAAATTAAAGCTGCAAGCAGCGTTGGGCGGGCCCTCGCACTTGTAAGCGCGTCCGCGTGTGAGCCGGCCGAGTTGCACATTCTGGAGCTCTGCCGGTGCGGCTGTGAATTTGTTACGCGGTTATGACGCTGCATGAAGGTGCTATATGTCACTTCCTGTGTCCCCTATGTGGAGCTACATAGCACTTGCCGCTATGAATATAAATCGGTATTGGTGTGTAGATGTCTGCGGGGTGGGAGAGTTATCAAGCACGTAAAGTTTGTTTCAGATGTGAGCATGTACACTGAACAATAATGTACCCAAACAATAAAATAAATTCCTTTTATATTTCCCTGCCTTGTTGTTTATGTGTACATACAGAGGAAGAATGTGAGAACAGCACACATTTCATCGTTACTGTGTGCTGTACCGCAGTTCTGTGTCCATGCATGCAGCAAACTGAAAGCACTGTCTGTCGGTGCGTCTACGTGAAAAGAGAAGGAAGACATGGCTGGTAGTATTGTCTTCAGAGTTGTTAAACACCTCAGCGCACTGAAGGAAGCCATCTGACTGTGTGAGCAAGATCGTTGATGTCTGCAGGCAGAGTAGGAGCTCTCCTGTCTGACTGGTCCACCAATAGCAGAGAAGATGACCCCTTGAGACACAGCCCCTCCTCATTTGCATAATGAGGCAGAAATGCATACAAAAATTTAAAAAAGACGGGCAGAAATAAATACCATGGGTGAAAATAAATAAGGTAAATAAATACAAAGGAAGAATAAAACAGACAAAAATATTAAAACACACACATAAATAAATACATTTTAAAAAATAGTAATAAATTAAAGCTGCAAGCAGCGTTGGGCGGGCCCTCGCACTTGTAGCGCGTCCGCGCGTGAACCGGCCGAGTTGCATATTCTGGAGCTCTGCCGGTGCGGCTGTGAATTTCCTACGCGGTTCCGACGCCGCATGAAGGTGCTATATGTCACTTCCTGTGTCCCCTATGTGGAGCTACATAGCACTTGCTGCTATGAATATAAATCGGTATTGGTGTGTAGATGTCTGCGGGGTGGGAGAGTTATCAAGCACGTAAAGTTTGTTTCAGATGTGAGCATGTACACTGAACAATAATGTACCCAAACAATAAAATAAATTCCTTTTATATTTCCCTGCCTTGTTGTTTATGTGTACATACAGAGGAAGAATGTGAGAACAGCACACATTTCATCGTTACTGTGTGTTAGAGCATGGGAGAACAGTGGATACTTTTAATACAGCCCACACCCCTAATACTGTGTAACTATAACAAGTAGAGAACAGAAGAAAAAGATGTTCTTTCTTTACAACTGTCTGCATAGCTTGTTCATATTGTGTAATGAATGAAAATAAATAGGCCTACTAGGATCCTCTCTACTTTGACATTTAAGATTAGCTTGTTTGATCCACCTTCATACACATGTGACATTACTGTACAACTTGAGAAAGGTGAGTTGTTTTCTGCTCCAGCCTGCCTAAAAGAAAAGCGTTTTTGGGATTAAATGGACTTTATTAGCTGCTGCAGTGCAGGATGAACTCAGAATAGACCCATTTCTCACCTTATTATTCTAAACCATGCAACGAAGAAGAAGAAATGCATAATAAATCCTGGGACAAAATCTGTAGTCAAATACTGTACAGCATGTAGTCTGATGAACAAGACTTGTGTTATAGCTGACTTGGGCAGTGAAATGTTTTTTTAATTCATGTGGTCATAGTTGTCCACAACTCAAATCAGAATATAAGAAGAAATGTTTTATACCACCTCAAGAAGGCTTCCTATCAGAAAGGTAGGAAGGTATTTCAAATGTACAACTGCAGTACTTAAATCTAAGTAAAGTAATTTCCCTGACATTTTTGTGTTACTTTACTTTTAATAGACCCATGTAAGAGGTTTTATACTTCCTGTGAGTATAATCCAATCAATCTTATTTTCATACTGTATATCCGTTGTGTAATTTGATAAATTGTGTTGTATGTCGTGCTCGCATCTCAGAGAAGACTCTGACTGCAACATGCGTCTTTGTAAAGAGAGAAACGGACAGAAAAAGTCTCTAACTCTGCCTGTCAGCTCGCTCTGCTCCGTTAAAACTGAATTGAATACGAGTGCACTCCAGATTTAGCTGCAGCCAGCTGACTGTGTGCTTCTCCCTATACCGCAGTTCTGTGTCCATGCATGCAGCAAACTGAAAGCACTGTCTGTCGGAGCGTCTACGTGAAAAGAGAAGGAAGACATTGCTGGTAGTATTGTCTTCAGAGTTGTTAAACACCTCAGCGCACTGAAGGAAGCCATCTGACTGTGTGAGGGGCAAGATCGTTGATGTCTGCAGGCAGAGTAGGAGCTCTCCTGTCTGACTGGTCCACCAATAGCAGAGAAGATGACCCCTTGAGACACAGCCCCTCCTCATTTGCATAATGAGGCAGAAATGCATACAAAAATTTAAAAAAGACAGGCAGAAATAAATACCATGGGTGAAAATAAATGAGGTAAATAAATACAAAGGAAGAATAAAACAGACAAAAATATTAAAACACACACATAAATAAATACATTAAAAAAATTAGTAATAAATAAAGTTGAATAAACAAATAAGGTAATTATAACAAAGGTAAATAAGTAAAGGCACTAATTAAAATATAAACATTTATGTCTCCTTGTATAATTTAATTACTACCTACATTTATTTATTTACTTTATTTTTTTGTGTATTTAATTGGATGCTTATTTATTTATTGAGCATTTATTTATTTCTGTATTTATTTCTTGCTGTGTCAGGATCGGTCCTCCATAACGGGGTGGGAGAGTTATCAAGCACCTAAAGTTTGGTTAAGATGTGAGCATGTACACTGAAGTTACGACAACTTCCGTGTCATGGCGAAGAGTTGATCTTTGACGCCACGCCACGGACACGCCCATTGACGAAAACTTGCAAATAGCACAACTTTTCATCTTCAATGCCTTTAGAAGGCACAGCAGAAATTTGAGGTCGGTCGGACTAAATCCCTAGGAGGAGTTCGTTAAAGTACGAAGTGTGTAAATCATCCAAAATTTGACGTAAAATTCAAAATGGCCGACTTCCTGTTGGGTTTAGGCTATGGCTCCAAGAGACTTTTTTGTGCGTCTGGACAAGATACACGTACCACAGAAAATTCGTGCACGTAGGTGAAACGTGCGGCGGGGGCTGCTTTGTTAAAAGTCACTTCCTGTTGCCAGCAGGTGGCGCTATGACTGTGGGTGAATGTGAGCATGTACATGTGTTCAGGGCGGGACTCTCATCCTACATGTACAGTTTGGTCCAGATGTGAGCATGTACACTGAAGCTACGACAACTTCCGTGTCATGGCGAAGAGTTGATCTTTGACGCCACGCCACGGACACGCCCATTGACGAAAACTTGCAAATAGCACAACTTTTCATCTTCAATGCCTTTAGAAGGCACAGCAGAAATTTGAGGTCGGTCGGACTAAATCCCTAGGAGGAGTTCGTTAAAGTACGAAGTGTGTAAATCATCCAAAATTTGACGTAAAATTCAAAATGGCCGACTTCCTGTTGGGTTTAGGCTATGGCTCCAAGAGACTTTTTTGTGCGTCTGGACAAGATACACGTACCACAGAAAATTCGTGCACGTAGGTGAAACGTGCGGCGGGGGCTGCTTCGTTAAAGGTCACTTTCTATTGCCAGCAGGT